TAACTCAAACAAATAAAAAAGATATTGTTATTGATAGAGAAATATGTTTGGTGAGTAAAAGTATTTTTATTTTAAGTTATTTTATTGAAATCGGGCGATAATTTGTCTTTCCTTTACGCCGGGCCACGGAGTGTACGAAAGATCGAATTTTTTTTTATCTAGTTCGCCCGATAAAATTCTGCTCTGTTTTTTAGCGAAAACACCATTAAAATTGTAGAATTTGATTTATTTGATAATTGTTTATAAAATTTTTTACAATTAAAATGTTTTTTATTTGTGTTTTGGTCATTTAAACCTCGCCAGACCAATTTTTTTATCGGGTAGTTTCGTCCCTTTCCGATTCGTACTTTTTTCGGCATAAATTATGTAGAAGGCTTACATTTAATTACTTAAGTTTAATATGTTACAAATCAATAATCAATTACCTGTTGTTAATCTTTTTGAGTTTGATATTGATTTAATAGATTTAATTAAACTTTTATTCATAAGTTACAAACTTATGTATGCCAGTTTGGACTATTTATACACTTAGAATTATAGAGAAATATATCTGAATTTTTAATGTCATTAATGCACAGCCATTTTAAAAAATTAATATATATAATATATTTAAATCATTATTTCAATTTTTTTTTATTTTCAGATTCAGCATGGCTGACAAATACCCTGGTCCATTTTGTGAGCTTCACAATATAACTAAATCTGATTTACAACAAGGACACATAACTAAACCTGCCCAACCATTGTTAAATGGCATAGTTATTGAATCAGTCATTACTTAGTAACATTGGGACACAATTCAAATGATTTATACAACATCTTAGTACAATTAGATCCTCTGTTACAATCTGTGTCAGTGAAAAGTCTGAAGGTTAAAGTTACACGGATATGTGAACAAAAGAAGAAATTATCTCATAAGAAAAAAGGTGATTGGTGTGAAAAAATGTCAGTGACTTATTAAATGCGACCTTTAGTCCGCCCAATGTGAAAGTTGTTGGAGAAATTCAATCTCTTGCATCAGTTAATGACAATTCTGACCTGAATTTAAACAAAACAATTGAAAAATTGAGAAAAATATCTGTGAGTGACAAAACTATCATGCAAAACAGTGTCTACCCAGACAGGTGCCTGGGATAATAACAATTTGAGTAAGGCAACAAACTTACTTCAGTATGAAAATTCTAAGCTACAAAAGCAAAGCATATCAATATCTAAGAAAATACAAGAGCAGAAAGATCAATTGAATGAGATTGAGAGAAGAATTGGCCATTTTTCAGTGCGAAATATTAACAAGAGAGACGAAACTGCAAAAAAAAATCTTCATGCATTGCGTAATGCACAAAGATTAGTTCTGAAGCAGGATAGACAGCTTGCATACACAAAAGAAAAACTTAAAAATGCTGAACTGCAATGTGACAATATTGAAAAAGACAGAAACAATATATCTGATGAAGTAATCTCCCTTAAGAAAGAGACTGAAATGTTAAAACATAATATAAACATTGAAAAAACAAGAAAGTTATCTGCTCAAAAGTATAATTCATATTTGCGAAAGGAAGTGAAATCTTTAAGAGCTAAATTAAAGAACCAAGTGAAACTAGATCAAGAGAAAACCTGTTTCAAAAAAACATGTGAAAATTGTGATACCTACCACAAACAAGTCCTTGAGAAAGAAAACGAACTGATTTATTTAAGAGATGTGGTCGATGACTTAAATTCAAAAAGATTAACCACCAAGAATGAAAATGGCAGTTACAGTAATGAAATTCGGCTTTGTATTGTTGAGCTATCTGGACTGGAAGTGGCCGTTGAAAAAGTTTCAGAGGTGATAAAAACAGTTTCCAAACATCTATATAATGTTGACATTGAAAACACAAACTTGCCATCTAGTAGCACTGTTCAGTCCATTGTAGACGAGGGTCACTACTTGGCTAAAACATTTATTTCTCATCAATTATCAGAAACTGAGAACTGGGGCTTAAATAGAGATGGAACTACCAGACGAAAGCAAAAAATTTTAGACACTTCAGTTACATTATCATCTGGAGACATAATGAGTTTAGGATTTAACAGAGTTGATCGAGAAACCGCTGTAAACATAAATGATGTGACCATATCTCATATTAAAGAGCTAGCAGACTTGCATTCAAACATTGACTCTAATGAATCACCCGAAAGTTATATTGCAAGTTCTCTAGAAAAGTTAGCATTCACAATGAGTGACCGAGCCAGCAATGAAAAGAAGGCCGTTCAACTTCTTGATGAATGGCGAGATGAAATTCTGCAGCAATATACTGACAACCCTTCCAAGGTCCACCATTTTTATTGTATGGCCCATGTTCTGCTTGGGTTTTCATAATACATTTGGGGGCCAACCTGAAACCCCAATTTAAAAAAGTCAATTTTTTAGAAAAAAAACACGGACCTCTTGGGGGGTTGACAATTTTCCCCGGTTTTTCAATTTTTTGGAGAAAAAAATCTGTAGTTGAAACGTTTGTTACCACAACATCAGATGTTTTTTTGGGGCCCGTTTTGGTGATCACCATGGATTTCAGAGTTTTAAAGGGGAAAGCCCCTGTAAAAAAAGGGCCCTTAAATTTCTGTTTGGGAAAATTAAAAGGGGGGAAAAAATTTAATTTTTTTAAGGCCTTTTAAAAAGAAAGCTAAAATTTTTTCTCCCATCTTTAAAGATTTTTTAAAAATACTCGGGGGTTTTGCCCACTGCCCCCAAATTTTTTAAAACTTCGGGTCTGTTTTAGCTGACCTTAAGTCTGAGGAAATAATGACAATAGTGCAGTGTCTTGGACTTTTTTACTTAAATATTACTGGCCCATATTGGAATTTAATAGTCCAAAATAAAATTCCGTACTTGAAATTACACAATGAAGTATGTAATATTCTGGATTTTCTCGAACAGTGCAATATCAACCCGCCAACAATTTTCCCAACAAGTCCCCTTCAGTGAAATTGACACATTAAAAGTCCATACCATGATTTACTTATGAGTAAACTTGTGAACATATCAGAAAACTCAGTGTATCGAGAAATGCTCTATTCTTTTGTGAAAACAATATCATGTGCAATGAAGCGAACTGTCCAAAACAATTGGCTGATTTTTTAAATGGTCAATACAACCAGGAACCAGAAGCACAGGAACTAAAAAGAACCAGTTTTGCACAGGTCACCAATTTGAGCTGCGAACACCACTTTGGTGATCTCGACAGCAGTCAACGACGAAGACCGAGTGCTTCTCTTCATCACCACTCATCAGTGCAATTACTGAAACGAAACAGAAACAAAATGATGAGCTGGCTAAAAAAAATGCCACATGACAATCTCTCAAAAATTATGACAAAGGCAAGGAAAGGTGGAAAACTCTTGCGACAGAAACACCAAGAGCATGAAAGTAACGTTATTTTCTAACATTAACAAAGAAATGTTAATGAATAAGGCCAAAAAGGAAACAAAAAAAAGAAAAGCTGAAAATAATATAAAAAATTCAGAAAAAATTAGGAGAACTGACTATGAAGACCAAGATAATGAAAATTATTCAGACAATGAAGACAATACAATGAACCTACTTGATGCACTTCCCAAAAAGACTGTCTCTGAAAATGAATATGTTGCAATAGCATACCAGGATGCATGGTATCCTGGTATTGTAGTGAAAGTAACTGGCAAGGATGAATACATTGTTCGTTTCATGTCGCCAAGTAAAAAACCCGGACACTTCAGTTGGCCTTGCCGCGAAGATGTACAGACTGTGAATAAGGAATTCATGATAGCAGCTGGTTTTATGCCAGACTGTTTAAATTCTGGCCGGTTATGGCATATTTCAGACTGGCAAAATATTGACACAATTTACAAGAAGTATTCTGATGTATATTTCTAATGTCGAACTGTATGAATGTGTTGAACTGTTTATTGACTCCAACAAGTACATTGTGGAAATTGTATATATTATTAAATAATTGTGTAAATAATAATTAAGTGTATATATTTCAAAATCAAATGATATGCATTTTTTTTTCAGCAAGTAAATATGACAGTAGATTTCAGTGTATTTTTTATGTTCATCAATCAAAATTTGAATTTTGATTTGTATTCTGTGTGGTACATATATTTAAGTTATCATTTAGTACAAAGGCTGTTTATGTTTATTGTATTTATTATAAATATTATATGTTTTGATGTAAATAACAGTAATTGGTCAATGTTTTCAATGTATCCTTGATTATATATGATTAACTTACACCTGCTATCTCATTATGTATGATACATGTATATATTTATAAATGATGTGTTTTCCGATTATTAAAAGTTTGTATATGACTCAATTGTTGTGGCTGTTTTTTGTAAAGGAATGGTAAAACATGGTAGTTATAAATACACCATTAAATGGGTTCCTGTGTGATCTAGCTATGTTCCAAATTTCATTAAGATATCATAAAAAATAAAAAAGTTATGGCAATTTTACTGTTTGTAAAAAGACATATTTTCATTCCGCGGTGCCGCGTTCGCGAGATATTTATATTCATATTATATAGTGGAAATTTTCAAGAAAATTGCGGTTTTAGCAAAATTTCAAATTGTCATAACTTTTTTATTTTTCAAGATATTTTAAAAAGGGAAGCACTTCTGAAAAGCTCTAATTAATACCTATACAACTGTCATTATAAAATAACATTTTAAAAATATTCAAAAATCAGCTGGGGTTGCTACGTAAAAACGCCTGGAATTTACTTCCGAGCACACTAAATCAATAAAGCACATTAAAATCTATCAGAAACACAACTTACTCTTATCAACTATCCAACTTTTACGCCAATTGAATGAATTTATCACTGCTCTTCTCCCATCGTCGGTTCCATTGCCAGTTCAAGCGATAAACTCCGTCATACCGTTATTGACCGGTCTTTGAAGATCCCGAAATTCTATCCAAAAAAATAAAAAACGATTTAAGTAAAAATCCCATATATATAAAAGTAGTATTTAATTTGGGATTTTTATTTAAATCGTTCTCTTTTTTTGTTTTGGGTAGAATTTCGGGATCTACAAAGACCGGTCAATAACGGTATGACGGAGTTTATCGCTTGAACTGGCAATGGAACCGACAATGGGAGAAGAGCAGTGATAAATTCATTCAATTGGCGTAAAAGTTGGATAGTTGATAAGAGTAAGTTGTGTTTCTGATAGATTTTAATGTGCTTTATTGATTTAGTGTGCTCGGAAGTAAATTCCAGGCGTTTTTACGAATATTCCTGGTAAATGTGGCGGTGGGTGGGGAAATGTTGTTGCCTTCCTTGTGTTTTTTTAGCTCACCTGTCACAAAGTGACAGGGTGAGCTTTTGTGATCGCTTTTCGTCCGGCGTCCGTCCGTAAACTTTTGCTTTAAATTACATCTCCTCATAAACCACTGAGCCAATTTCATCCAAACTTCACAGGAATGTTCCTTTGGTGGTCACCTTTAAAAATTGTTCAAAGAATTTAATTCCATGCAGAACTCTGGTTGCCATGGCAACCGAAAGAAAAATCTTTAAATATCTTCTTTTAAACAACCCTAAGAGCTAGAGCTTAGATATTTGGCATGAAACATCTTCTAATGAGTGTCTACCAAGTTTGTTCAAATAAAAGCCCTTGGGTCAAAATTGGCCCCGCCCCAGGGGGTCATTGATTTTGACCCTATATGCATATAGTGAAAACTTAAAAAATCTTCTTTTAAAGAACCCATAGAGCTAGAGCTTAGATATTTGGCATGAAACATCTTCTAATGAGTGTCTACCAAGTTTGTTCAAATAAAAGCCCTGGGGTCAAAATTGGCCCTGCCCCAGGGGGTCATAGATTTTCCCTATATGCATATACATGTAGTAAAAACTTTAAAAATCTTCTTTTAAAGAACTGTAAGAGCTAGAGCTTAGATATTTGACATGAAACACCTTCTAGTGAATGTCTACAAAGTTTGTTCAAATAAAAGCCCTGGTGTCAAAATTGGCCCCGCCCCATGGGGTCATTGATTTTCCCTATATGCATATAGTAAAAACTTAAAAAATCTTCTTTTAAAGAACCCAAAGAGCTAGAGCTTAGATATTTGGCATGAAACATCTTCTAATGAGTGTCTACCAAGTCTGTTCAAATAAAAGCCCTGGGGTCAAAATTGGCCCTGCCCCAGGGGGTCATAGATTTTCCCTATATGCATATAGTAAAAACTTAAAAAATCTTCTTTTGAAGAACTGTAAGAGCTAGAGCTTAGATATTTGGCATGAAACATCTTCTAGTGAATGTCTACAAAGTTTGTTCAAATAAAAGCCCTGGGGTCAAAATTGGCCCCGCCCCATGGGGTCATTGATTTTCCCTATATGCATATAGTAAAAACTTAAAAAATCTTCTTTTAAAGAACCCAAAGAGCTAGAGCTAAGATATTTAGCATGAAACATGTTCTAATGAATGTCTACCAAGTTTGTTCAAATAAAAGCCCTGAGGTCAAAATTGGCCCCGCCCCAGGGGGTCATAGATTTTCCCTATATGCATATAGTAAAAACTTAAAAAATCTTCTTTTAAAGAACCAAAAGAGCTAGAGCTAAGATATTTGGCATGAAACATCTTCTAGTGAATGTCTACAAAGTTTGTTCAAATAAAAGCCCTGGGGTCAAATTTGGCCCCGCCCAGGGGGGTCATTTATTTTCCCTATATGCATATAGTAAAAACTTAAAAATCTTCTTTTAAAGAACCGTAAGAGCTAGAGCTTAGATATTTGGCATGAAACATCTTCTAGTGAATGTCTACAAAGTTTGTTCAAATAAAAGCCCTGGGGTCAAAATTGGCCCGGCCCCTGGGGGTCATTGATTTTCCCTACATGCATAATTAGTAAAAACTTAAAAAATTTTCTTTTAAAGAACCCAAAGAGCTAGAGCTAAGATATTTAGCATGAAACATGTTCTAATGGGTGTCTACCAAGTTTGTTCAAATAAAAGCCCTGGGGTCAAAACTGGCCCCGCCCCGGGGTCATTGATTTTCCTTATATGTGTAAAGCAAAAACTTAAAAAATCTTCCTCGAAAAAACCCAAATAGCTAGAGTTTAGATATTAAGCATGAAACATCTTCTAGTAAGTGTCTACAAAGTTTGTTCAAATAAAAGCCCTGGGGTCAAAACTGGCCCTGCCCCAGGGGTGTCATTGTTTTTAACTATATGTGTATAGTAAAAACTTAAAAAATCTTCTTTTAAAAAACCCAATGAGCTAGAACTTAGATGTTTAGCATGAAACATCTTATGGGTGTCTACCAAGTCTGTTCAAATAAACAAATAAAAGCCCTTGGGTAAAATTGGCCCGGGGGGGGGGGGGGGGGCTATATACAGTTGAGCGACCTCAGGGCCATCATGGCCCTCTTGTTATAGTATATCTATGGGATTTTTTTTAAATCGTTATTTTTCTGTTTTGGATAGACTTTCAGGTTCCTGTGCTTGAACATAATAATCTTCAGGGATATCCCTTACAAATAACCAGACAGACCTTGACCTTTACTCATAAATGACCTTGACTTTGAAGGTCAACAACAGCAACACGTGTTTCTATTTTTAGAATTGCGTGTTTCTATTTTTAGAATTGCGTGTTTCTATTTATAGAATTGCGTGTTGCTATTTATAGAGTTGTGTGTTGCTATTTATAGAATTGTGTGTTGCTATTTATAGAATTGCGTGTTTCTATTTATAGAATTGCATGTTTCTATTCATTTATATTTATATATATATACAAAATAGACAAACAAAACTAATGTGACAGGACAGACCAACTAAATTTATAAAAAGGAAACGTTAAGATATGTTCAAACCTTTCTATGTTTGCTTTTAGAAAAAGTAAAAAGTTGCCCCCGCCCGGCGGTGGCTCTTGTTAGATATTTATTGGGAAAGTTAACAAATTTATTTCCAATAATTTATTTTTAATAGCCATGTCAGAATTGATTATTTATATTGATATATGTTTTTCTGATGTAGATAAGCAATTAAACTTCTGTAATATACATTTTTTTATATTTTTGTTGCATTGAAAAATGGTTTAATAGGTGATAGGATGATAAAAGGTATGGTTGGTTATCAGGGCCAAAACACCATTTTTGGGGAAGGGGCCTCAGCCTTTTTCTTGGGGAAAATATGCGTGATTTTGGCATACATTGGGAAAAGGGGTCTCGAATTTAACACAAACTTTTAACAAGTTCTTCAAAAAAGAAAAGCAAAAAGCACAAGGAAATACAAATAAGGCAGTCAAAATCCTTAATTCAACACCATCATTTAATTTTGTTCTGAATTCAATGGGAAATATAAAAAAAACTGGGGAATTTTGAGGACCAAACTGGGGAAAAAAAGAGGTTTGGTTGGGGAAAGTACGATTATCTATCTTTGTCATCCCAAGAAGTCGAGAAAAAATATGGTTTGGTTGCAGTTAAATAACATCAATTGAAATAGTTTACATAATTTTGATAATAATCCTTTTTTGTTTTACTAAGTTTAATTTTTAAATTGAAAAAAAAAAACACCGAAAATAATGGTTGGGCTCTGATAATTGCGTCAATTACCGACGGTATAGAAGTTTGTCCATCATTAAGGAAAGTTTGCATGTTCCATGAAACTCATTCTAAAATTCTATTGTCAGTCCCTAGGTAGGCTTTTATTAAGGCTAATTATTTGATTGTGCTTGTAAATACGTTTGATATTTATCTACTGTATTTGAAAATTATTAAATTATTTTTGCTTTTCACCGTTTTCTGATATTCTTTTTATTTACCAGGTTTTCAACAAAAACCGGGTAATTGTTATGCCGAAGTCGGCGGGCAGGCGGGCGTCAACTTTTGGTTTCCGCTCAATAACTTTAGTTTGCTTTGGCCTATTGGCACCAAACTTGGTGTGTAGGTAGCTTATATCAAGAGGCAGCTTGGGATTGCTACCCAGGTGTCTGCGATCAAGGTCAAGGTCACTGCTACTAAAAATAGAAATTCAGTTTCTGCTCAATAACTTGAGTTTGCTTTGGCTTATTGACACCAAACTTGTTGTATGGATAGCTTATATCAAGAGGCATCTTGGGATAGGCTACCCAGGGGTCTGTGATCGAGGTCAAGGTCACTGTAACTAAAAATAGAAATTCAGTTTCCGCTCAATAACATGAGTTTGCTTTGGCTTATTGACACCAAACTTGGTGTATGGATAGCTTATATTAAGAGGCAGCTTGGGATTGCTACCCAGGAATCTGTGATCAAATTCAAGGTCACTGTTACTAAAAATAGAAATTTAGTTTCCGCTCAATAACTTGAGTTTGCTTTGGCTTATTGACACCAAATTTGGTGTATGGATAGCTTATATCAAGAGGCATCTTGGGATTGCTACCCAGGTGTCTGTGATCAAGGTCAAGGTCAATGTTACTAAAAATATAAATTTAGTTTCCGCTCAATAACTTGAATTTGCTTTGGCTTTTTGACACCTAACTTGGTGTATGAAAAGCTTATATCAAGAGGCAGCTTGGGTTTGCTATCCAGGTGTCTGTGGTCAAGGTCAAGGCCACTGTGACTAAAAATAGAAATTCAGTTTCCGCTCAATAACTTGAGTTTGCTTTGGCCTAATGACACCTTACTTGGTGTATGGATAGTTTATATCAAGAGGCAGCTTGGGTTTGCTATCCAGGTGTCTGTGATCAAGGTCAAGGTCACTGTAACTAAAAATAGAAATTCAGTTTCCGCTCAATTAGTTGAGTTTGCTTTGGCTTATTGACACCAAACTTAGTGTATTGATAGCTTATATCACGAGGCAGCTTGGGATTGCTACCCAGGTGTCTGTGATCAAGGTCAAGGTCACTGCTACTAAAAATAGAAATTCAGTTTCTGCTCAATAACTTGAGTTTGCTTCGGCCTAATGACACCTTACTTGGTGTATGGATAGTTTATATCAAGAGGCAGCTTGGGTTTTCTATCCAGGTGTCTGTGATCAAGGTCAAGGTCACTGTAACTAAAAATAGAAATTCAGTTTCCGCTCAATAAGTTGAGTTTGCTTTGGCTTATTGACACCAAACTTGGTGTATGGATAGCTTATATCAAGAGGCATCTTGGGATAGGATACCCAGGTGTCTGTGATCAATCTGTAACTAAAAATAGAAATTCAGTTTCCGTTCAATAACTTGAGTTTGCTTTGGCTTA